GAGCCGCGGAAGACTTAACGGGTTGCCGGGGCTCCGGCTTGAAGTGCAGGAGTAGGAACGGGTTGGTTTTTAGTCAGTAATAGTCTAACACTCCCTCTCGCCTAACCCGGGCGGGAGAAGTCATTGGATGATCCCCCTAAAGTAAGGGCTGACTAAGGTGTTAGGATTTGTATCCCGATTAAATGGTCCAATGGGTAAAACAGGAATAGGCGGGTAAAAGCTAGTAACTAATAAAGTTCAAGAGCAATAATTGCTAATTTATCTATATTCTCTATACACTCATAAAGCTTAATCTGTCTACCATGAAAGCGTAACAAACTCCTTCCGCATTTTTAATACCAAAATAATTCAGACAAAACCGGTTCCCACACAACAGGTGCGGTGGATAGTATGATTTGAATGAAAATATATACTAAACATAGCGTTGAGAATCAACCGGCTTGCTTTATATTCCGCGTGCGATATACCGGTACAAGCGACTAACTTAAGTGACGCAATATCATGAGTCACCAACAAGAAATAGACGTAACTGGGGATACCATTAACTTTAAAAGATCTCCATCATCACGACTTTCTTCTATCGGTTAATTAGGATCTTATTATTATAGATGGGTTGTTGTTTTGCTAGTTTTTTGTGGTTATTTAAAAGCTTTTTTGGCTTAACACGAGGAGAGGTCAGTTGGTTGTTGGTTGAGTAAATATTAACTTGTTTATCTTGTCAGCGATCGTGAGTGTTACGCCTGTGTAAAACAATCTAAGTTAAGATTTTTGAAACGTCAACAAATACAAAATAATTAATAGTCTGTCAGTCTTTCCGTCAGTGGAGCTAGGTGGCAATAGTAGGCATTGTTTTTCTCCGAAGAGAATGCCTTTACGTGTGCTAGAAAAAATGTACAAAGTTCTATTGCGATGAGGGGAATACCTAACTTGATACCACCAGCATTGACTCCAATGTCTGACTGTGAATCAGTATCGAAAATCCATGTGATCCTTTTTTGACTCTATACTTCTGTTTGCTTCCGACTGTTTAAGCACTCCAAACATCCTTTCAAGAAGTTTGTTAATCGGGAGCCTTCATCAAGAACAGCAGCTGTAGCCAAATGCCATTTAGCGCTTGTCTACATGTAGAATAAAAAACTAAATTATATGGAATCGACGAAAATTTTGACACTTGTCAGTGTCATCCCCATCTATTTTGATTTCTACTCTCTCTGTAGACAAGCGCTAAAGTGGCGTTTAGCTAAAGGCACAGGGCTGAGTAAACTTTTCACACCCAACTGTAAGATTCGATAAGAGCGACCGAAACAAATAATGAACTAAAGCTAACGATATTCTATATCCATCACTTACCCCCGAATACTGAAATACTACTCACTCAATTTTAGATTACACTTAAATATCGTGCCGTCTCTGTAATTTTACAAAGAATTTTGTAATTAAAGTATTCGGGCGTAAGTCAGTAAATTACTAAACTACCAAATGAGATTTCGATCCTTATTGCTAAGTTAAGGCACACGCCCCCCGCTGGTGCATATGACCTTCGTGATCTGTCGACATTATTATGATCCTTTGCACTTGTCATTTTTTGTTGCGAATAGTTATTTTTCCTTAAAAAAAACCTTGATTCGTTTTATCGTAGTAGGTAGTTTTATCAGTTAACAATCCTTATACTCGAAAATTTATGTGTCTATTTCTCTGTTTGTTTGCGAAGAGCTCTAAAACTGCGAAACGGATTTTTATGCGGTATTCATAGATGGATAGAGTGATTTTCAAGGAACTTTAGTGCATAATTTACGAAGCTAGTTGGCCATGTCTTTTGTAGATTTATTTCCGAGCCAAGAATTATAGAAACTACCTTCACTATCTAGTGTTTAGTCAATTGCTAGACAATACACGTCGTAGGTCATTCGCTGCGTTACTATTATCGCTGACATATACTTTATTTGCGCTTTCTACGACTTCATTATCTAGTTTCAGCGTCATTTGTGTAATGCTACTATATCTTATGCAAAAAACGGTGTGTTACTGGAAAATAAACTTAGTAGTAACTGACATAGGTCACTGTTTAGGTCTATTACGACTTTAATGTAGGCAAGTTAGCATTTATTATAATAAGAATAAAGGGTCTAATTCACTGAAGTGTAAATATTATAAAGTTGACTGAACAAGCAACAGAATTCGGTCTAAAAAGGTCAGGTTTCGGGTTTCAGTGGGTCTAAGCAGGGATGTGGTTTTAAGGGAAGACAATAGACCCATTGTTGAATTTGTTGGCCATACAGCATTGTCTATAAAAAGGGAATACAAAACATATTGACAGGGACAGGGAAGGAAAATATAGAATTTCTGTTATAAAAATATATTTGCCATTTTGTAATTCTTGATACGTCATTGATTCAGTACAAAGTTTGATTGCTGATAATAGAAATTGATGTCTAGATAATAGGAAAGGGGTTTAGGCAGTAAGAGTCTGACACTGCCTCGATACTCAGAAGTCTGGGATACTGCCTGGTATGCGAACAAAGTGGTAACAATGGCATAAGGGAGGTGGGTGTTAAAGTGTTAACTACTGTAAATATAATTCAGCCCACTCCTTCAAGCAAATACGAGGATTATGTTACTTATTATTAGTTTATTACTCACAATTCCAACCTTCGCAGAATTTTCGAATCACCTAATTTTAGACATGAATCTTTAGAACCGTTTTTGGAGTGATTCCTACTTTTCTATTAATTTAACACATGCGAAAGCAACTCTGTCTTTACTGTTGGACGGATCTTGAACCTCAACTCAGAGATATACATACCTTGGAATAAAACATGATTAGCTTTGCCATTTCGCAAAATGCCTACAAAACTTGAAGGCAATATCAAAAATAAACTCTGATCTAACCAAGGTAAGGTCTAACGTCACAAAACACACATAGGCTTTTCATAGCAACTTGTCAAACGAAGTCATCACAAATAATATCCGATTTCAGTTTTTTTTAGACACGTTGACGGTCGCGTCGCTTTGGTAGTGGACGGAAATCGTTCCGTATTGATTGGGTCAACTTTTAAGCTTCGTAATTTGTATGCGAGAGCCGATAGAGGATTCGGACAAATCATTTTGGATCGAGTTTGCATTTTAATACTTTCATTGTATGCGGTAAGTTAATTAGGAAGACTTGGACAATATAATTGACGTATAAGAGTTTATATATTTGTTTGAATGTAATAATAATTTAGTGAAGTGGTTAACAGGGATGCACATTACGAAATATAACTTCGATTTCATCTTTGACAGCCAGTGTAGTCCACTGCTAGATTACGGGTCTCCAGGCCTCCTTTATAAACAGGGGATGGCCATAATCGTCATGCTTGGTAGGGGGTTAAGAGATCGCAGTTTAAAAGATTCAAGATTTTACAGAGAGCGCTTCCCATTCACCTAGCTACGTTATGAGTCCCACGTTAAAGCCTAGGCAAGCAGATACCCAGACATGTCGACCAAAATCTGGCAACGACGTGCTACTCGACTCAACGTCGCGTCGTATATTAAAGTGTTGCATTTAAGTATGATACAATGTGGTAATAGAATTGTATGACTCACTATTTAGATTGTATGGGAAAACCCGTTGGAACTTAGACCACAAGATCATATGAAATAATATCTAATAAGAAAAGCATTAAGTTGACTTTGAACTAGAACTGGCGACACTATGCAGATTGAATCATTTAAGTTTCAGGAAGTACACAGTATTATTATTATTATGTGAATGTCAGTTTTAGTGATAGGTGAATAAGACACACATAGAGTGTCAGTTATCGTAAGAGAAACTGTCGAGCAAAGAGGTTTCTAGTTTAATTCACGCGTTGGGTTGGTTCTATGGGGCTCATAATATAATTAGTTTAAAAGTTAATATTGTTCATATAAATATTCTCCGGTCACCGTAAGCACGGGGGACTCGCCACCCGACTAGAACCAGACCCGAGCGTACTCAAAGAGCCATCAGACCACCACAGATGGGGCCCAATAGGGCTAATGCCGATACGGAGCCGCGGAGGACTTAACGGGTTACCGGGTCTACGGCTCGAAGTGCAGGAGTAGGAACGGGGTGGTTTTTAGTCAGTAAGAATCTGACACTACCCCCTCTCGCCTCACCCGGGCGGGAGAAGACATTAGATGATTTTCCTCCTCAACAAAAAATCTTATAATATAATAATGCCCATGTCTATACACATAGCGTTTTGGCAAATTAACGTCCTTGATGTCAAGTGTCACTTAGTGTATCTTAGCACCACATTGTCATGTAAAAGACACAAAAAGAATAGTAATTGCAAATTGCAACACTAACTGCACCTTGGACGTCTAACAAGGATGCAAGTCTGAGTCATACTGAGATAATGAGAGCCGCGCTCATTGCAGCCACGAAAGTTTTATCTACGACTGATATTAATTACTATGCATGTAGTGCATTGCCAATGTGGGATGAGCAGTTATCTAAAGAATTTATTAATAAAAATTTTGAAGGAAAATATAATCGATCTTTCTGTGAAAATGACGTCAGGAGGCATCATGCCATACATGGATAATACTACCATGTGTATAACCTTGTAATTTTTTTTTTCAAATCAGATCTTCATAAACCATTGTACGTTTAGGTATGTATTATTATTTTACCTCGTTAACTAAAAATCGCATTTTACTCACGTGATTATACTGAGAAAAGCTCTACTAGTTTCGAACCACAGAGGGGTTCTCCCTCATGAGCAACGTGCGCGGTCGCGGCGATGTCGTGCAGTACTCAGTATATTTACGTGAGTAACCCGCCATTTTTACTTAACTCAGTATGTCTCACGATATTTATTATAAAAAAAATATTTTACCCCATTAAAAACCCAGGTAAAAATCACTAAAATATTTCAAACTTCAGTACAATAAACTGGAAAACTATCTCCAACTACTATCAAATACCACAAAAAGCACTTTACACAGATAAAAAACCCTTATCATAGATAACATACCTGGAGTGAGATCTAATTTGTCTATGTGGTCGCCAAGCACGGATGCCCAGCTCTGTAACTGGTCTAGTATACCCCACGGCGTTGTCATGGCGACCGTGAGGAGGACCAGCGTGTGAGGGAATGTCTCCTCGCTGAGGGCAAACTTGAGGAGGTTTGTGTGCCCTGGATCTCCGTCCAGCACCCATACACTGAGACGTGTTTGATCTGTGTTGGAAAGTAGAATATAGTTTAGGATATATTTTCTTTAATACATGTTTATTCTTAATACTATAAGTTTATAAATTAATATATTCTAAGGGCCGATATTTCCAAAAGCAGATAAATATTCTAATTGAGGAATTAATTCGAAAATTGGACAATTCTTCCGTACTAAAAACTGTCAAATTTTTATTCTACTGTTAAAAGTTAACTGATCGACCCCAAACTATATTTTTGAAGCAATATAAACTTTGCGATGTTGCTGTTAGTTAGTTGCTGATAGTTGAATTGACAATATCATGATATTTGCGGATTTTTTGGAGTTTTATTTATTGTCCTCCAACGTTAAAAACATTACAACAAAAACAACCACAAATAAAGACTATAAATATATACATAAAATACTAGGATCTAATGTAAATATTTCTAAAATTAATTCAGAATTCTTATACTGATATCATATATCACTGTCAGTGATAATAACAACCTTTGTACTCTTTTGGAACTTATTTTTTTTATTCATCCTCTGAACAACTGTTCACTGTACTAAAAAGTATTCTTATTTGATTATAGATAAAGACGATTAAAAATATCGCATAATAATATGACCAGTAAGACTTAATTTTCTTTGATTTGTATACAAACATTCTTACATTAAAATATTTGATGCTCCAATATATCCAAAAATAAATTTGATATGTAACTCTAACACTATTTCTTGCATGAACTTCGCATGTAAGATAACATGCGATGCTAATCATGTAAAAGTGTTTCCTTGTTATATTTTATTTAAAGCCAATCTACATAAGTTCTGCTAGAAATTAATAATTTCATATTTCTTCTTGAATTTTTTATTTAATGCAAGTAGAAATTGAGAGGTTCAAGAAGGATGAAAGACGGTTTTCGAGCCATCCAAACACTCTCACCAACGAACTTGCAAAACCGAGGCTCACTGCACACCGAAAAAAAAAATTTTAAGTGCATTGCGATCAATGAAAGTTAAACTAGAAATACCAACGAATATAAGAGAAGAGTCAATTATACTAATTAGAATCATAACAAAAAGTAAATCTTGATTCAGACATTACTGGCATAATAAAATCAATCACTGAAAGATCTGATTTCATAATTAAATTTTTAGATTACTAAAATAAATTAACTTTTATGTATTAATTAATATTTCTTGTTTGCTTTCTCTTGTTTTATAGTTGTAGTAACTATGTGATGGTTTCAATATTCTTACTCAGATTGTTTTTTTTTAGACAAAATTAGCCAGTATGTAGTTTGTAAGAACTCTGAGTTAGATATGAATTATAATTAATTAATAATGTGCAAATTAATATCAGAAACCAAGATATTCATCATTCTACTTTATATATTTCTACATATTCCAATTTATTTATTATTTTGTTTCATAAATGATCTTCTTTAAATTTAATATTTTGACAGAATCTAATCAGAATATAGTATCCACAATCATTTGAACTAATGAGAATGTATCGCAAAACATTGAAATGAATGTGTTAAAGCAATGCTTATCTTATTGGTAGATATTAGAAGAACATATGATTCATAAAAACAAATCAATATTCATGACACAGTCCAAACAGATTCCAATAAGAATGATTAACTTGAAGATACTTAATAAATAACAAATTCAACAGCTTCTACATGCCTCTTAGTGACTTTATTTGTGTGTTATTACAACAATAGGGTCTGCTCTAGTAACAGAATGCAAAATAGTACTTCTGATGTCATGAATGTAGGTTATATCAAAAATCTAATCATCAAATACTTGTTTATGTACCAAAATACAATGTTTAGTAACAAAAACACAGACTTACCATCTCGATATTCATCTCTAACGTCTATATAAGCATATTCGAGTGCGGAACCCTTTTTAGGGTCTTCTACCCCTTGTAATTTCGCTACCAATGTAGTTTTACCAGTCTCATTGTCACCCAAAACTAAAACATTTTTGTTTGAAGGTAGTTTTGTGTTCCCTTGGTTTTGAACCTCTTCTAATATCGAAGACCTGAAAATTTTTAAGCTTATAGTACATTCATTGTCATCACCATCGAGAGGTTGGTACTTGGACGGGAAAGTGTACACCAATGTGCGTATTTGTCGCCGTGTGAGAATGTTGCGTTGTTATTTTACATACAAAGGTAGACAACGCAGCTAGGTCACATATTTCTCAGCTTCATAGCTTGACATCACGTAGGTGTGACACATTGGATCCCTATATGGGGAGTGCATGTTACCCGTAAAATTAACAGTAAACCGTTACCATAGGTTGTCCTTGACGTCTCCGTTTTCTTTCTTTTTTGATTTAAGCCCATTAGCCTGGCCGTTTGTCTCCATTCTTCAAGTACGATAGAAGATAACAACGGCACAGAAAGGCTTTTCTTTCGTTTTCGTCTCTTCTGCCGTTCATACGTCACTCTCGCGATGATGCACTTATTGCCAGAATGAAGAATTTATATTATACTGTTAGATTATCAAACCTCAATTTTGAAAAAGATATTTTTTAAATAACTTAATTATACCCCCAAAGAAAACACTATCTTCTTAATTTAAAAATATCTGTCAACATTTTATTCTGCTAAAGACATACGAGAAATTAACAAATTATGACAATTTTTTATACGACTGACAACATTGTGAACAAACTTTTTAAATTCAATGGTAGAGATGTGAACTAAATAATCAACTACTTGGTTAAACGAGAAAGGTCCTAAAACCATAACAAAATATTAGCCTAGGTGATTTTAAATACTTGTATGAATCGAAATACATTGTTAAAATATGTTATATTACGTAATTAGGCGTACATCAATTTTGTAATTAAACAGACGTCAGATGTTAGTAGTCGACTAAACCTAGTTATCATTAGTCGATTTTTCGAACCTTTCTAGTAATCAGCTGTCAAATAGATTACAATCTACTGATCACTTCCGCATCTCTAGCCACTGTTTTCCTAAGTCAGTGTCAGACAAAATACAAGTAATATCACGAGAAATTATTTTTAAGCCTAATTAAAACTTGATAGCTATACAACATTAAATTGATATTACGCAGTTAGGTGCAGAACATAGTGGATATTATTAGTTAAAAGTGCAAAATGTCTAGAAAGCCGAGATCCGGGAATATGACTAATTTGTCTCAGGTGAGTCATACACATTATTTGTTCGTTCATAATTTCTTAGGGTCTCGTCCGGTTCTATTACTGTGATTACAGTTAGTTTATTTATAGGAACATGTCATTGTGGCTATACAATAGTAAATAATAGGTTGAGGTTAATCTTGAGATGTTATCAGCTGATTTTGGTATTGTAAACAAAGGGTTCCATATTATTGTTCCTTTATGTCTGAAAAACTGTTAATACGAAGAAGCCCGCCTTTTGTATCCCTCATTGTGACCATAGTTACTTTTGTTGAAATAAATTATATTAAAACGATTCTATAATCGATATTTAGGTAGATTATAATATAATACTTAAAGTTTCGTGTTTTGAGGAAAAAATAAGGAAATGTCTGCCAATTATTCTTTTATCTAACTAATAAGCACATTTTTGAGTTATAACTGCAAGTTATGTGTGTAGGATAATGATACAATCTGTATTATGGGCTCAATTGATAAATTAGTCTGTAAGGACGTAGTCCTTTGTTGTCTGGATTCTGGAATAATCTAGATCATTTTTACCATTAGAGTTGAACTTACCATTTTATCCGACCTCCATACCATAAGTCTAATCAGTTTCCTGTGTACAATATTATAATATGTGTTTTATGTACATACTGTTACTGTTTTTAAGCATAAAGTAAAACTAATTTAAAATATTTAAATGATACAAAAAAATAAAAACACATTGTTGCAGTTGGAATAGGTAATTATTATAATCGTTAATAATAAAATTGTAACAGTGAATAATACATTGAAATAATATTTTTATCTCTCTTAAACAAACACATTCATCTTTTTTATGTTTTATAATAAACCGAGGACATTATCTAGCACACATTCATTAATGTGTAGTTTATTCATTTTTTTTGTTTATATCTAGCTGACCTGGCAAACTTCATTCTGCCTTATTTTTTTTCACCCAACTTTAAACTTTTATACTTTCTCTGGACTTCTATGAATATTTCAAGACCAAATTTAGCTAAATCGGTTCAGCCGTTCTTGAGTTTTAGCGAGACTAACGAACGGAAATTGATTTTTATTTATATATAGATATATATAGATTTTAACTACAATACCATAACTCAATTAAAAATATAGAACAATGCATACAAAACATACAGCATGCGAAACTGTTACTAGGAAACTAGCATAACATCTAAGTACCTAAACTTTTTTATTTAAATATACCTACTTCCTGTGTTTGAGGTAAAACCAGGTTCATTATTAGCCTCTACGTAATATTAGTCATATATATTTTGAAAGCATGAATTGAGTATGTGGTAATTAGTAAATTACAATAAGAGGTAACATGGGAGCAAAGCAACGAAGCAACAAGCCTAGTGCTCACCACAATTTGTACGCCTCTGGGTATAGCATAGCGCTCTTTTTTATTACCATATATAAGACCTATATCTGTATGCACCTATGTTAACAAATAAAAGTGATTAGATTTGATTTGAACAAGTGCTTTTTTACTTTATCGAACCCCCTATCACTAAAAAAATATTACTTTTACAACAAGCTGCTCTCATTTTAAAGGTAACTAAATTGACTTTTATACGATATATGTTACCAATTAATTAAATACTTGTATCAGAAAATATTATCAAGGTATGAAAAAGGAAAAAGCGGAAGTGACTCCGTTTCTTTGCTCCTTGGTGTAGTTAGACGTAATATGAATAGCTAACTAATGGGAATATTCATCATGTTGTTGTCTAATTTGAATGTGATCATATTAGAAAAGCTTATCAGGGGCACGACCTTCAGAAATGATGCAAGAGATCGAGAAGAAGAGATATTAGTAAAAGACTTGCTTTTCTAAAAACATTGATTGATAAGATTCTTAAAAGACAAAAAATTATAAATATGCACACCTTAAAATTAATTTTGACTGTAGTGTTACATTGTTTTTTTTTTTTTTTTTTTTATGGAATAGGAGGCAAACGAGCAGACGGATCACCTGATGGTAAGCGATCAGCGCCGCCCATGGACACCCGCAACACCAGAAGAGTCACGCACAATCCAAACAACAAAACTATATAACTACTAACTAGAGAATTTGATTGAAAAAGAGTAACCTATGAAGTTTCTTGCTCGTTCTTCTCCATAGGCATCTACACCTTGGAATGAGCAAATAGCATCACTTTGAATTTTTTTGTTGACTATCAAAAGTGCCTTTCTGGTCTAATAGAAATAACTGATTTTGACTTTGACTTTGAATTAAAATTAATAACAGAGTACAATAACAACAACATACTACAAAAAATAACCACATTGACATTATGCAATATCATTTAATATTTTCTTTGTTACAGTTCGGTCTGCTAGACATACCAGACATAAATGATGATGATGAGCCCCTTGACTTATCAGACGATGACTTTGACTTGGAAGCAGAGCTGGCAGCTATCAGTGGAGGTGGTGGTCACAGACAGAAGCCAAAGAAACCTCCTCCGGTGCCCGCAGCAAACTTGGACGCTATGATAGCAGAGAGCTTGAAGGATATACCTTCTGATGATGAGGGGTCAGGTGGGTGAATGTGTAGTGTTGCCTAGTGGTGTAATAAAAATGTCTTAGTTTTTTTATGTGATGGTTAAATGTAGAAAATACCTACTGTTTTTATAATAACTATCGTGAGACATACTAAATTAACTAAAATCGCGGGTTACTCACTCAGCCTACTGGTGCACCCTAGTAGGCTGCGGGACATCCGCGACCGCGCACGCTGCTCATACGGAAGAACCCCTCTGTGGTTCGAAACTAGTAGAGCTTTTCTCATTATAAAGTACCTACTCTAAATTTTATGGATAAAAAAAAATTAAACTGTCAAACACCAAGCAGTCACCGGTGACCGCAACCTATTGTTCTATAATTTATTGTGTCTACAAAAACGGTACTCGACGAGTTAAATCGAATAGATGTCTTGTGGAATCTTTAAATTGATTTTTTTTATGATATGGAAAGTCCTATTGAGTGGCAGTGATTTATTTAATCGACACTTCAATCTATAGGGTAAATTTATCCTCTTTTAGAAGACGAAGACGACCCAGACCTGCTCAACGAACTGCAATCCTTAGCAATAGATGACGATGAAGCTCCCGCTCCTCCCCCGCGCGCAGCACGCCCCGCGCCCCCACCCCCCGGAGCTTCACTGAGCACTGACAGTAGTACCATCAGCCTGCTACAAGACAGAATCACAAACTACACAGTCGCTGAAAAGAATGCCAAGTCGAATGGAGAAAGCAGTCGGGCTAGAAGGTAGGATCCTTAATTATTATAAAGCAAATCTGTTTGTATGTCTGTGTGTGTGCGATAAACTCGTAAACAGTTGAACAGATTTTAATGCGGTTCCACTTTAATAAAAAGGGTGAGGAAACTTTAGGTGTATAGTATGTATATGTAAACGTTTCAGTCGGGGGGGGGGGGCGTATCTGGCGCCTGGCTGAACCGTTTTTGTTGCGGTTTTCAGAAAAGTGCTTGTTCTTATATTAGAAATGTACTGTTTTCCAAAATTGTGCGCATAGATATGTTATATTTTCATTTGAGATTGCGTTGTAGTGAGTCTCATTTTGTTAAAATATAAGTTTGTATAGTTTGTATTTAGTTCAATGTTGAAACTCTAACAACATTGCGTACGAACCATGCTAATTAGTGCATACATTTCATACTAACAGTTGTGTTTAGCTAGTGTCTAATAAGTAGATACAGTGACCAGCACTGCGACCTATTGCTTTATGTTTTTCTTTACTTATTAGATTTTAACTTTATTGTTTTGGAGCAAAGTCGGAAATCCAACAAAAACAAAACATTGACAGATTTAAATAAGTTGATCTATTGCCTGGGGCATTAGTACAAGTTTGTTTTTAAAGTAATCGAAACGAAACCTCACCAGCGCTCTGATTGGTCGGTTCATTGGAGCCGGCCAATCACTGCGCCGAACGCGTACTCGTTTCGATTACTTTAAACGAAAACGAAACTCGTACTAAGGCCCAGAGGCCTTAGTACGAGTTTCGTTACTGTACAGATACAGTGAATAAGAAAAGTCACCGAACTACTACTATAGGCACTATTAATAAAGTTTTGATATACTTAAGATAGTATTAATGTAACCTTTTATGTTTTGGCTCAAAACAGGACATTCATTTATCTAGATTCAGTCAGGTATCTAGTAACTAGATCCTATTACCTATAGAAGTCGCGGAGAACCTAACGGGTAACCGGGGCTCCGGTTCGACGTGCAGGAGAAGGAACGGGGTGGTTTTTAGTCAGTAAGAGTCTGACACTCCCTCCCGCCTCACCCGGGCG